CGATAAAAATGTGCCACACCTCATAGTTGGGGGAGATGCGCAAGTCTCTTTTATAATAATGATTTATTCTACAAATAAATCTGATGCGGATGGAGGGCATTGAGAAGTGGGGGATGGGTGGATTGGAGACGAGGGAGCGGGACGGCGTCCGCAGCGTCCGCTCCGGGCTCGACTGATGATGGAGCTGGCTGGATCGTCGGGGGTCGGTCGGCTCCGCCTCTTCTGTAAAAACAAAGTTATTCTTGCCTTTAGAAAGTGGAGGCGTCTGGCGAGGGACTGTGCGAGGCCGTGGAGGCGCAGGCTTTATCAATCCGCCTGCGCGGTTGCCTCGCGCCAGACGCCTATGTTTTGGTTGCTCTAATTGCCCTTGAGAGCGTCTGGAGGATGACGGTCCGTTGCGTCATCGGCTTCCGGCCTTAGCAAAAGAGCCAAGAGATCTTCTGATCTCTTACTCCTCCCCCCTTTAGAAAGGACCGTCTCTGGTCCGTGAATTCAAGGGACCAGGAAAGAGCTCTTTTGAGTGCCGAATTGCTTCATGAATGAGAAAATAAAAGAAAGGAAATATCTTACTCACTTTGTGGATGTTATATTATCTGGAAGACGGGCTATGTGTCGATCCGACGGTAGAGACTTCTGAAACAGGAATTTTCGAAACATTTGTTTGTGTGTGAAGGAGAGGGACAGAGACCTCTGTTGTGAGAGCTGTTGGATGTTGCGTTTGTACGTGGGAAAAGAGAGGGTCGGAAACCTCTATGGTGAGCTAGATTTGAAACTCACTGTGTCGTTGAACTCGGTAGGCTTGCGTAGGCTTGTCTGAGCGCAGACTGGACGTTTTGAAATCCGCGATGTTGAGGGATTCCGGTCTTCTGTCGGGCTTCGTGCGTGAGGCTGGGAGATGGATCCCTTCGTTCGTCGCGCTTCTGAAGGCGATTGCGTCCGCCAACGAGTAGTCTTCCAGCAGTTTTGCTGCTGGGTTGTGATGTCTGTAGAGCTTGTCGTTCTCGCGATCGATCGAGGCTTTCTGAAGAAATTTCGAACCTTGCGGAGCTTCTAGGCGTGTGAGCGAAATGAGCTCCTGCTGAACTAAGATGACGGCTACTGTCGGTTGGTCTAGCTTTTCGAGCTCCGCTAGTTGTTCTGCGACTTTTTCTTCTTGGCGCTGATCCGAAGTGTACCACTCGCTTAACACGTGGACGTGTTTGGGTTCGCGGTTTCTTCTGTTACGTCATTTCTCCAATTCTGGATGCTCTTCTGCGACTCCCTCTCTGTGTTGTTCGCGCTTGCCTTGCTACTGCTGTGGCTTCGGAGATGAGGGGTGATCGGACGTCGCGATGTTGGTCTTCAATGGCTCAGGAACTTTAGAAAAGAGAGGCACAGAATCCTCTTCAGAGTTCGCTGGCTCTGTTGTAAGTTGCGACTGCCGCCGCGTAGCTATGAGGGTAGTGAGGCACGGATTCCTCGTAGTTTGTCTCTTTTGGAGACGATTGTGGCTTCAGGAACATTTTTGGCGTCTCCGGGTTCCGTCTCTGCGTCTTTTCTTCCTTCGACCAGTTCTTCGGCTCGGCTGGCATCGTCGTCTGGATCCGAACCCAAAAACGTGCTCCGGCAGCTGCTCTTCGGTGGCTGGGGCGATGGAGAGGCTCTCGAGGCTTGAACCAATGCTCGAAGCGGACATCGGCTGAAACTGATTATTTTCAGAGTTTATTTGTTGTGGAGTGGAACGGAAGCCCCTATTGATGGTTGTCGCGACGCGGAACGCGGAAACGAGCAAAATCGAATGAAGAAACGAAAAGAGAGAAAATTTTGATAGACTGGAGGAGATCTGGTAAAAAGCTGAGGCTAGGATTGAGAAGAGAAGATGGAGAGGAAAGGTTGAGATTAGAAGAAAAGGGGAGGAAAAAAGTTTGAATTCTCGTCCTTCCCGAGAACTTCTCAGTACGTCAGGCGTGGTGGAGCTCTCGTGTTTCGTCTGAAACTATATTTAATTGATCTCGCTCCTTCTCAGCGTTTTCGTGAGTGACATTCTTTACCGGCTGGTTTAGTTGACCTTCGAAGACTTTTTGAGCTCGTTCTTCGGTTGGTTCCTCTATCTTGTCCGACTCTACTTCTTCCGTCTCTGCTTCTTCTTCTGTAGTTTCCGGGATAGTTGAAAACGTTTCGTCTCCGGGAGCTGTTCTGGGCGCTGAAACTGTTCTAGAGGAAGCTGTTGGCTCGAGAAAAATTTTGAATAAAACTTTGTCGCCGACCCGAATAATGCTAGGTATTGCCGATTCGTCGTAGCGTTGTCTGTAGTCTTCTCTCGCTCTCTCCAAAGTTTCAAAAGCTGTTGTCCGTTTCTCGTATGATCTTTTTCGACGAATTCTTTAATTTTTTTTTTGGTTTTAGATCCAGCTTGGCTTTGGACAGGACGTTGACGAACTCAGGGTCGTGTTTTTCGTTGTTGTTTGATGCTATAGGGTAATGAGGGGCTCAGAATCCGCCTGTTCATAATATATCCGATTGTAATCTTACGTCGCTCTTGTAGTCGTCGGGCAGGCGTAGGCTGCCGTTGTATTCTGGAAAAGCGTCTTCGGCTCATTCGTCGGGTTGCTGATCAGTAGCTTCACTGCTCCTGTAGAAAACAATGCCGGCGCGACAAGGAGGTCGAGATCTGAAATCTTATTTGCCTGAGAGACGAGGACTGCTTCGCCAGCTGGGTCCACGACTGGGGCGGCGCATTCAACAAAGGCTTCGCTCTGAGCTGGGATCACCGTATGTTTCTTCACTTTGATGGGGATTTCGCTAGAAGGCGAAATTGTGGAAACAGAAACGTAACTGCCCAAGGGTAGGCGCTCGTTGCCGACGTGGAAGCTTCCTTTCTTGTAGTCCAAGTGGAACTTCGGCAGCTTGCTCAAGAAATCGTTGCCCAAGATGATGTCGTAGGAGGATGCTCCTCCTGGCGTGCAGCGCGTTTTCGTGAAGTGTGTCGTTTGCGTGAAGCGCAATGATCCGATCTGAATTTCAACTTCTGCTTTGCCTACGATTTGGACTGCGTTTCCTCCGAGTCCTATCGCGTTGTTCGTGCTCGTTGGCGAAAGAGATGCGATTCCCATCAGCGGGCAGAGTTCGGCGCTGGAAATTGTCAGTCCTGCGCCAGTGTCGATGAGAGCTAAAGCATTAACTCTGTTAATTTTTACTGGGATCTGCGCTGTGAAATAAGTTGAGCATGCCTGGACAGTGTTCACTCTAGGACTCCGCTTCTTCTTCGGCGTTTCTGCGAACAGGTGGGCGTAGTCAAACTCGATGTCTTGTTTATTTATCTGGGGAAGAGAGGCGTCAGAATCCTCTTTAGCTACTACTACTGTCTTTCTGAAAGCGGGCACGAAAAGACAGGTTGTTTTGCACAAAAGTCGTTAGGAAAAGCAAACCGGCGTAAGCTGTGACTGCTAAGCAAACCAGAATCGTCCAGATGTAGAAGACCGTGTCCCAGATGAGCTTTGTTCTTTCCCAGAACGAGATGTACTTCATAACCTCGACGAGGTGTCCTTCCTTCGGATCGTCGTGCGCTGAAACCATTCTAGTTAGGGCTTCCGGGGAACCTTCGAGCGCCAGCCAAATCTCGTTGTAGTGAGTTGGCTGAATAGTTTCTGAAAGTGAGCCTATGACCATGTTGTGAAAAATTGTCGGAAGCATGTCTTCTTCTGGGGCTGGCGTGTTAGCTTCGACTGGGAAGCTTCTGGGTCGGAAGTCCTCGACTTCCTCTGACTCTAATGTAAAAGGGTTGAACCTTACCAAACTTTTTCCGTGAACGAACTCGAAGTTGTTGACCAAAGAGCAAGGCACTGGGTGAGCTCTGCTGGTGACTATGTCCGTGACCGGGTCGAAGAACGTCAGAAAGGACGAGTTGTTCGGCATCGACACTCTGATCGATGGTTTCGAGTAGCACTGGTCGATGAACTTTTCCAGATTAAATGAGGCTTTCGGAATCCTCGTGCATGCTTGAACTGCCAAGAGTCTATTACCTAGGTACCTGGCTGAAATATCCGTTCTGTTTAGAAGCTGACGTGCGACTAGAGTTGGGTTGTTGGCTGCTGCTGCCGAACTGGAGGCGGCGATGGCATTTAGTGATGCGCACCAAGAAACCAAATTATGAGAAACCCAAGTGTACATTGTCGCGATGATATCCTTCTGAACCGCCAAAAGTTGAGCTGCTAATTGATTTGAGGAGACAAAATTTGTAAGATTTGATAAGGCGGGCTCAGAATCCCGCTTTCGTCTCAAAATTGGCGAAATCGCGAAGCCTTGATCCGTGAGGATCAGAGTGTTGCCGCAGTCTTGTACTTTCAGACTAGACGCGTTAAATGAGAGCGCGAATTCTTTCTCATCGCCAAGCCAAATATTTTTCGACAGAAAACCTGAAAGTACTTTGAATTTCACAAAACGACAAGCCTGATTGGGATTTGGGCGCCAGATGAAGGCAGCTCCTTCTCTTTGATTGCAGAATCCGTCGCGATAGGAGCAGGCTGTCATTTGGCCAGCCGGAGACGAAGGAGTCGATTCGTCAAAGTGTGAGATCACTTTTGTGTTCAGCATGATACAGTTCGTCGAAACAAAAGTCTTTTCTTCTGCAAATGGCCAATAAGGTGGCGTCGGCCACGGAACCGCGTGTGGGTTGTTAGTCTGAAAAATTCCGTTAGAGAAGAATAATTCTCCATGCGCACATCTTTTATGGTTCATCATTATCTGACAATCTGACAAAGATACCGTGAGCTGCTTGGAAAAAGAAGTTTCGCTGCGGGCACCAAAGAAATTCACCGAAAAAATTGTAGTGCGCTGAATGATCTTACAAAGAGTAGCGGATGACTCATATTCGATGATGTTCGGCCGCCAGACAGTGAGAGAAACTCTCTTAACGGCAGAAGAGTCACTGCCGGCCAGGCGCGAGCACTCGATTCTTGGCGGCAACAAAAAGTAGGACCGCGGCGCATGAGGCAAACAGATCAGCGGATTGATAGCCAGTGCAGGAGTGAACAAGAAGCAAATCAAAATGAATCCCAACCTCAGATTTGACCCTACTGAAGTCCTGTTCCCTTGGCGTTGTTGCGGAGCTGCCACGTTGATGCGCGATTCCTCTTGCGCTCCTGCCGAAGTGACGTTCTGCGTCAATTCGTTGTTTCGCTGAAGGAGCGCTTCGATCCTTGCTTGCTGTAATCTTATGATCTCCGCTTGTTCTTCAACCTGATTTCGCGTTTCTTCTGCTTGGCAGGCTTGCACGTTGGGTGCTCCATTCCAGTTTTGAACGAACTGCCTCGCGTCGTTCGGCTGCGTCATCTGATGATTCATGATCGGGTCATGCTGTTGCGGAGGAGGACCCTGTTGGTTCTGAAAATTTCCTCGATTGCTGTAACCTCTTCGTCCTCGTCCCGCGGCCTGATCGCGAGCTTTCGATCGACAATCTCTGACGAAATGTCCCGGCTTGTCGCAGTAGAAGCATCGGGCTTGGTTGGCCGGACCCGTTGGCGGCCTTGACTCTTGCGGGCGTTGCATTATTGTCGTTGGCATCATTCCCGGATTTATGATGTTTGCCCGCACTGCTTCCTGGAACCACATCTCGTATCGGAGAGCTGCGCTTTCGGCTGACTGAAAATCTTTTGGAAAACTAGATTTCACGTGAAACTTGAGGTCGTATTTAAGACCGTCTACGAAAGCTTCTAGACATTTTTCGTTCACCGTTGAGCGTCCTTGTTGCCCGAATGCTGCTCTTGCCAGCTTCTTCACTCGAGCCGAGAAGTCTTCGACCGATTCCATTGGAAGTTGAGTACAACTTCTGAGCTGCTGTCTAGCTAGCTCGACTCTTAGTGGATCCTGAAAAGCATTTCTCAAACTTTCCTTGAGTTCCTTGAAGTCTGGAGGTGGGGAGCTTGTGAGTAGCTCTTCTGCTTTGTCTCTGGCGTTGTCAGCCAGGTACGTCAGTAGATGGGCCTTCTTCACGTCATCGGCAAGACCAGGATCCGTCGCGTTGGCGACGTCTTCAAAAGCGCGGATGAACGTGTTGAAATCCTCGTGCGGATTTCCGCGGAAAACCGGGAGCGCGCCTCTATTGCGAAGATCAGCTGCGCTCAGGACGTTGATGCGTGGGGGTCTCGGCGTCCCCTGAACCAATGAAAGATGCTGCGGCGGCGCAGCTACAGTAATCTGTTGAGTCGCCGTCGGGAAGGCGAACGTCTGGTTGACCGGCGGAGTCGACGCGCGCGTGGGTGAGCTTGATCTCGAAGCGGGGTCTGGCGTAGTTGACCTCGAAGCCGGGTCTGGCGTGCCTCCGCTGCCGCTTCTTACCGTACTTCCGTCAGAGGAATCTTCCTCGCTGCTCTTCTCGAGCGCGCTGATGCGGGCGTCCTGTGCCTCCGCTATTTTCTGGACCACTTGGTGTGTCACGACCAAGTCGCGAACTATCGCTAGCTTTAGCGCTTTCAAATCAAATATGGTTGCAGGCTCAGAATCCTGCCTTCGGCCGAGGGCTGACTGAGTGTTGAGTCTCAGTGGCCTCGTGAAATCCGTTGGTACTGGCTCTTCCATTTCAGCAAAACCTATAACGTGAAGCCTGAGAATGGGAATCCTTCCGAACAATACACGACGCGGAGAAATACTCGAACGCGGTTTAAAAACAAAATCTCCGAGAAAAAAAAAAAAAATTAAGGAAGAAGGGCGCTGAAGCCCAGAGAAAACCCTACTGACGTGGCGAAACACACTCAAACAAAGAAAAGGGCGGACGGCTTTGGAGCATGAGGGAGAACGGTGCGCAGAGGACAAAGAACTGCGTCACCTCTGACTTTGTCGTGCTGCGACGCGTCACACGGCAGCGTGCCCCTAGCGCGGTTACCTACTACAGGCCTTTGCCACAGGCTGAAACTATTGACCAGCTAGAGAAAGAGGCGCACAGGAAATCTGGCCAGATCTGTGCACTCTTCTCTAGCTCTTGCGCTTGAGCTCTAGGGCGACGCTCAGAAAAAACATCTGGAGAAAAACCATTCCAGGCATCTGGGAAGCTCGAAAAACCACAATCGTCCAGGCATCCGGGAAAAGTGAGAACTAACTCCCGGGAAAACTCCTACTCGTACCTCAGTTCAGCTCGGTTGCCACGGTTTTGATCCGGCAATCCATCCTTCGCCGCCATACGATCTTGAACTGCCGACCATCTGACTTTGCCGCGTCTGTGAAGTTGTGGAAGAGAACTGGGTTACCCAGCGATTTTCTCCTTTCCTGGATGTTGGTGGAGGGGAAAAATCGTAAAAGGTGGGCTCTGACTCCCAGTGGCTCGACCGCTCGCTGCTACCAGTTGGGGAGATGCGCAAGTCTCTTTTATAATAATGATTTATTCTACAAATAAATCTGATGCGGATGGAGGGCATTGAGAAGTGGGGGATGGGTGGATTGGAGACGAGGGAGCGGGACGGCGTCCGCAGCGTCCGCTCCGGGCTCGACTGATGATGGAGCTGGCTGGATCGTCGGGGTCGGTCGGCTCCGCCTCTTCTGTAAAAAGCAAAGTTATTCTTGCCTTTAGAAAGTGGAGGCGTCTGGCGAGGGACTGTGCGAGGCCGTGGAGGCGCAGGCTTTATCAATCCGCCTGCGCGGTTGCCTCGCGCCAGACGCCTATGTTTTTGGTTGCTCTAATTGCCCTTGAGAGCGTCTGGAGGATGACGGTCCGTTGCGTCATCGGCTTCCGGCCTTAGCAAAGAGCCAAGAGATCTTCTGATCTCTT